TACGCTTATTATAAATTGTAAAAAAAAACATACATTCTTGATCAAAATACAGTAACAAATAATATATTGATATCCCATTCCGATTTGATTTCATAAACTGCTTTTTGAATGAATAACCACACTGCTTCGGATTCCAACGGATAGAGGGCATGGATAGCATGTATGATTTTAAAGCATGCATCAACGGCTTTAATAGCCTTTTCAAATGCTAGGACCTACAACGATGGGTGCCGGTTGTAGTATTGGTCCAAAACGTTCAAACTTCGCCCTCTTTGCTTCTAGTTTTGTTTGAAGATCAGCGATTGCCTGAAAAATAATGTTCTGTAAGTAAGGCATTTATATTAAAATGTATAAAAATACGAGCGCCAATAAGTTTGATATTTAAAAAAATAATACTGCTCCTATTGCAATTTGCTTTTCACGTATAATTTTAGAAAAAAACAAAATTGTGCAGTCGAATTTGTCATCTAAAAATATATGTTTTAGTGGAAAAAAATTATAATTCTTATTATGTTGAACCTTCGCCAATATCTTCTCTAGTGATTTCTAAAAATCGGGTCGTTACATTTTTATCTTTTATTTTTCCTGCATGACTGGTATATTGCAAGAAGCAAGTAACTCGAACCCTTTCCAAAAAAAAGGTAGTAAACTATGTAAAAATTTAAAAAAAAGTAAAATCAATGAACTAAGGAACCAGAGGCGGAAGTATGAATAAATTACATTTTATGCACCAAACGAATTTCTAAAAATTCGCTTCATGAAATCGTATTCTATTCTTGAATACGTGAATACGATAAATGAAACTTGACGATCCTCTTCAGCGACATAATGAAGCTCCTCAATCTTTCCGATGCAAACGGCTGTAAATAAACTCAATTTCCGATAAAATTAAAATATCCGGAGTGCTTAAGAAACATCTTGGCATTAACTACATTTATATCCAATAAAACGAGATTACATCGTTAACTGAGTTATATATAGCGGCGCTTTTGAGTTAATTAAATTGAATTTTTACTACTTGATTAGCACGATTTCGCTTATTTGCATTTATCAAATCGGGACGCAAGTGAAATTACTGGAATAGAATCGATTTACAGCACGTTATAAGTTATATGATATTTGCGAACAACAGAATCTATTTACTTTGACTCGAGTTGGTGGTTACTTTGTGCGTAGTGATATTAATTAATTACTGGCAATTGTTCGCGATATGATTATCAAGTAGCACCGACATAAGTATACACGCCCTTGTAGTTATACCTATTCTAACACTTATGCACAGATGTTTATTTGACTCGAGAGAATGCTTATGTTGATTAACACTTAATTTCTTGATTTGCACGTCGCACATAGGAGTATTTACTCTAAAATCCTGGTCAAAATTATTTAACTTAATTTATCATCATATAATCATTTGAGAACAATAAAAACATAAACGAGAACTGTCTTAAACCTACCTACTAATATTTTTGAATGAATTTGAAAATCTGCTGTACATACATAATAAAAACTAATCGTCTAAACTGGCATCACTATCATTACTATCAACATCAACTTCCTGGATTTCGATTGACGAATTTTGTGCGTAAGGAATTAAAAGACCTATTGTTTCTGAACAGAACGGCTTGCTCCTTTTTCGTGGCAGAAGTCTTTTACTGCTAAGCAAAGGATCAGACGTTAGTAAAAGTCTATTTAAAACGTCTCTGTTGCATTTAACTCTGTCAAACTTTCTGGCAAAATTTTGTCTAAACAGTCTAAAATGTTTATTGCGGGCTTCGGCAGCCTCTTCTGAAAGCTGCCCAATTGGTAGTATCGAGTGTGTAATTACAGTTGCACCATGCACAAGAATTTTGTGTACAGTAGGTGACATTGGATGCCACCCATACAGCTGCACGTACAGTTTTGCAGTTTCTTCTGTATATGCTTCAAATTTTGTAGCGTGTACTTCATGGCCACTGGAAATAGCTTCAAGGATGACTCTAAATCGTTGAATTAAATTACGATCTATCCCTGTAATACGCGAAGCAGTTTCTGGATCGGAAAAAAATCTTCGTGATGTGTTTCCATCATTAGTGTTCCCGTACCCAGCTTTTGGTATATCTACCAAAAGTCCCATTTCCTCTCGAAACGCTTTTTGAATTATTTTTTTCCTCTCTTTCACTATCAATTTGTCTTCAGTTGACCTAACTTGCCATTTTTTAATGATCAACTTATATGACAAATGTAATAACGATTCAAAGAATCTAATCCTTGCATGTAAAATTGAAAGCCCGAATTTGAGACTCTCAGGATCCACTTTAACTTTTTTCGTTAAATCATTAAAGTCTTTAGATGTAAGACCACATATATAACACCTCATTGTTGATGAAGTGTTCGTAGCTGCATTGCATACTTTCCCATCCACCATTGTTGGCAACAGTTGGTGTGTTATATAAAGAACACCATTAGCCGTTGAAACTTCCGTTTTTTCTAAATTTCTTGCTTGTTCGTCAATGTATTCCATTTCTTCATTGGTGACATCCTTTGTTTCATGAACGAAACGTATCCGTATAGGTCCACAAAACCTGGGAGATGAAGGCACTGGATTTTGCCATAGAATTCTGATTTGATTATCAATAACTGTACGCAGTCGTAGTGGCACAAAGGAGCTTTGAAATATGTTGGCATCGCTGTCGGTATTATTTTCAAATTTTTGCTTGTACTGGGATTGCTGAGATCCATCACAGCCCCACTTGATGATTAGCTGTAAATTGGCTTTTTCTTCTTGCGTACAAGTATCTATAACTTCTTCTAAATACTTGCACAATCGTAAACAGGTATGATTAAGCAATTCTTGTAACACAACTTCAGCACATGTCTCTGTTACTTTGATGGCTTCCTCATTTGGATAGCAGTCGGTTTTTGCTTTTTTAATTAAAGAATAACAAGGATATATTTTTTTATTTGCACTGTGTAGTATTTCCCATTGCCTTCTACTAAAATTTCCTTCAACGAAAATAGCCAAAGCTTCAGATGGTGTGTGCTTTTTTATTTTATCTTGATGTACCGCAGAAATTACCTGTCGGAATTTTTTACCTCTCGTTGGTGTTAAAGTGATATCTTTTATTATTTTAGATACGTCTTTGTTACCTTCAGCACGTTGGCTCATTTGAGCAGCGTAAGTCAATTCATCCGCGGGAATACTATCTCTTAAATATTTTGTTTTCCTTCGTTTGGATCTATCACTCAACTCTCCAAATTCTTTTGTTGGTCGACCCGGTTTCTCACTTGTCCAAATCTTAAACTTCACCGTTTTTTCTAGCCATTGTGCATTTTTCTTTAAAAAACGATCATGTTTGTAACTTGCGGCGACCCATTTTGCCTTAAAATCACTCTTGAAATGACTCAATGCGTGCTTTAACTGGCTATGTTCACTGTCTCGGCATTTAGTTATCTCAATCATTTTTTTCTCCAAAAACAGCATCTTTTCGTCTATTTTCGTATCCGGACATTCTTGCATTATGTCATATAAATGCCTTTTACTCATATTTTTGAACGTCCCAGACGAATCTACAAATAAAAGTGAATTCATTATTAACAATCGAAAATACCAAAATTCACTATCACTACACTTAAATAGCTGAGAATGAAAATGGCGGAAGAAAGCGGAATTTTTTCTTTTACCATTCTCTCCAGGAAAGCTCAAACCATTTTTTAAATACGTGTCGGGTTATCGGAGGTACCCGGAACACATAAAAAATCACTTCTGTTTATGATGTTCCACAAAAAAAGCACTTGTTTACGGTTGTTTATCAAATAACTATAAATTGGTTTGCGCTTACAAATTAAATGTTACGTAGATATTATATTCAAGTACATACCTTTAATTTCAATCTCCATCTTGTTGTGTTCACAAAATGCACAAGAAAATATTGACACTGTAAAAGTTAATTGTATCAAAAATGACAATATCAAGAAACAATAGAGCCCAATCGACGCCAACTAAGTTCCGACTATCTGTTTGACGTGCGGTGGCAAGGACAGGCCGAAACAAGGGCGGAATTTGATAAACCATTTATTTATCTATTAGAAAGAGGCAGTTACACTAACTTTAAACATATTTTGTATATTTGATTTATGGCCAGGTTTTTACGGTAAATACTCCTATGTGCGTCGCCTACAGGGTGGTATTACAAGAGCGGTTTAAATAAAAATCCTTCACATGCAAACGTATTTTACAGTAAAAATGTATTGGAACGGCTTAATTACACTTTCAAGGGTCGAAAACTTGCAATAAATAAAATTGAACTTCTACGGCACTGGCAAAAAATTTTACTGTGACAACTTTTATTTTACCAACGGCTAGCGCAGTAATTATTATATTGCCACCATTACTCACCAACTACTGTATCCACAGGCGTAGTAATTTGTTATTCTTGGTCACCTTCGTCCTTTTGCGGATTTCCTCTTGGGTCACTTGCACGTTCTTTTAAATATTTAATATTGGCTTTTATTTTGTCAATATTATTACAAATTAGTATTACAGCAATTTTTTTTGGATAAAATTACCCGAGATCTTACAAATCTGACGTGCAATTGTTGTTAAAACATCACCCTCCATCTCAAATGCACAGTGATGTTTGAATTTAATTTGGCATTTATGAACGCCGTCTTGATGATTTAAAGTAAACCATTAAGCTTATAACGGGTTATTCAACAACTGGTTCTTTTTTCAAGTAGGATTTTTTGACAGATCACGCGCCACTGCTGTCAAACTAAACCCACATTTCTACTCAGTTCTGTAAAGAATGTTTTTCGTGCACTTTGACCAATTTATGGTCGTCCTTCCGAACACGCTATTTCATAAATTGGAAACGGAATTTACATTATTGGATGTTACGCGCTGGTACAAATGATTAATTAACGAACGATTGTGAACTGTATGTGTATGTGGACATTATAATTTGTAGTAGTCTCAGATGATATTGTATAAATAGTAGGTAAAATAAAAAACAATAAAATAAATATTTAGTTATATATTCTATAAATAGGTATTATTGAAGGTAATTAACTTAAATAGTTAACTAATAAAAGTTATAAGTTCTATTATCATAATAGTTTTGAACGCCACGGCCACCTCTAAAATTATTTTTTCCTCCTCTTCCTCTGCCTCTTCTTCCATTAAAATTTCCTCTCTTCCCATGCTCTTTGTTTTCGTTTCTGTAAAATTTATATGTATAGTAATTTTTAAATAAAAAAAAAATATAAATGTTTAATATAAGTAATTGTTTTTTTTACTTAATTTAATTTTGTTAATAATTAGACTATAATTTATTTATCGAACACATGCAATCAAGTCCCTATCAATAAATTTTGGTTAATGTAATAAGACATTCGTTTTGCACTCATCAAATTATAGAAATTGGGAAATTTAAAAATCGCATGTCACATTGACACGATTAAGTTATAAGGCTACCTACATGTTTTGAATATTAGCCTTTTAACATACAACAGTAGTTTCGAATTATTTATTCAGTTAGGTACTTATAAAAATCATATGTGAATTTATAATGTACACATGTTAAGGGGTGTTTTTTTTTAAGACGAGCCATACGACAATGTAAAGGCGTCGAGTTATTTAAAATGGGCCATAGGGAAATTTACATTGCATCATTAGTTACGGTACCTAATCCTTTCTTGCTTCCTCGCAAACTATCTGTCACAGTACTGTAGAAAATGTTTCTGAATCAACAAATTTATTCAAATCAGATATAAACGTATAAGATTGTAGTTGGTGTTCGAATTGTTTTTCACCGGCAATCAAGCAATACCCGATACTCGGCACTGAATATCTTAAATACTCACTTTTGTAGAAATTATATAACATGAATACTTTTTCGAACAGCAAATAAATTTTTCTGCTTTGTTGATGCAGTTTGAAGGATTGAGATAGAGAACTGTTAGTGAAATGACTAAGCGTAAGGTCAAAATTTGAGAACAATTGGCGCAATGTAAATTTCTCTATGGCTCATCTTTAAAAAAACACCCTGTATAAGGTACAAACGATTGAAAATTATTACAATGAAGAGATGTTGGTCTTAAAAGTTTTCAAATTTGATTCCAAATATTAGAATCTACGTTATAATTATCAACCTTTTGAATAGCGTAAATCCTTCAAAAAAACTATTTTGTTTTAATAAAATTAATGAGAAATTGAGATAAGTAAGATAAATACAAAACGCAAGGATAGATTTGATATTATGGATGTTAATTCAGATACAGTAATTATGAATGAATGCAAATGGTCGTTTGTTATAGGTTTAGAGAATTTGGTCAATAAAAAATGTTCGAATTTTTTGGGAGGAGTGGTGTGATGTGAACAAATAATATATATTAATTACCTGACCCCGCGACTCCACATCATCGGATTCCGTCTAAAAATAAGATGAAAACGGTATAGGTAATTTTATAAATATATAGCTACAGTAGACCTTCGCCAATTTGAACAGGATGAAAGTGTATTATAGGTACGTTATTTTTGTAAGTAAAGAATAATTCGAACAACAGTGTCCGTATTGTATAATTTTTCCATAAAAATGTGATTACATGATGGGCATTTTGATATTGATGATATGCATTGTTTAGATTTAGAACAATTGTTGTGTTTTGTTTATTCTATTTTGTATCATTTGTAATTACAATTATTTTTCTTAATAAATAATTCAGAATAAGATTTTATTATTATTTTTGTTAATTCGAAAAATTCATTCACTCAAATAATCTCAGATCCGGATGAGGTCGAATCGGCAAGTTTCTATTGTAGGTACCTATTGGTGTATGATAAAATGTTTTGCGTGTAAAAATGAAATCATGAAAGATATATACTATACAAGTTGTATGTTGAAATTTGATGTCGTATTCTTTATGATTGTCCAAAAATATTTATACTTAAGAAATACAATATACAACTTGTGGAAAAGATCAAAATGAAATGAAATTAAAATTGTATTGTATTGTAAATTTGTTGAATCTTGTAAATTAAAAAAAGTGTATGTAAAAAGTTTAAAAATATGTCTATTTTTTTAATTTACTTAATTCAATTAATAATGAAATTAGATTTTTTTTATATAGATTTGGCTTCGACTGTTTAGTCTTTTTGCTATTTGTAGATTTTATAGTTAGATATTATTTACTTACTTCTTGGGATTGGTCGTGAGTTTGAGGTTCTATAAAAAATTAAAGTATTAATTTTATTGAATTTTAGAAACGAATCAATTATGCTTACCGTTAACTTGTTCTTCTTCAATCTAAAAATTAAATGGAAATAGTATATTATAAATATATAACATTTTGTTTATGTGTAAAATAAAAGTTGCATGACAAAGAATTAAAATTGAAAAAATGAAAGCATCGAAAATTTTTTGTTTCTAATTTCTCATGTTGAGAGTTGAAGTTTTATAATAAGTTTTGAAACTAAGTGAAATACTAATATTGGGTATAAAGATCTTAGAATATGTATAACTTTAAATTTGTATTGTTTTATAGAATTAATTGGCAATGTGGCATTTTCTGAATATTGTCACATATTTTATATTTATATAAACAATGTGGTTGAAGTGAAATTGGTATTATTGTTAATTGTGTCATTGCAGTTCAATTAAAAAATATAAAAGTTGTGTATTGCGATATTAAGATATATGATAAAAGTAACTTTTTTATGGAACATCCTGTGTATGCGTATGTATTTTATAAAAAACAAATTAAATAATGGTCAACACTAATTACCAATACTATGAAATTAAGGACATTACAATCAATTAAAGTTTTCTATTTGTATAAAATGGTGACAGTTGATATTTTAATGATAAGAAGAAATACGTTAAAAAGTTTAAAATATTTGACATAAATTACTGTGGTTGTAATAATAAAGGAGTTACAAGTTGTAAAAATTTTTTTTTTAAATTTTATGATTCTCAATTTGTAAAGGTTAAGTCTAGTTTTATACTTTTTGGTATATTTTACGTGTTTAAGTATTACCAGTTTGTCTTTGGAATAAATTAAAAATTTTAAATATCATTTATTGGTAGTTAGGTGTTGATTTCACTATATAAATATTTATAATTATTGATGGTACATTACCTCCGTTGTTTGCCTGGTGTTGTTGTCGCCGTCGTCGGCGACAGTTGCCGTGTTTGCTGCGGTTTCTTCAGTTTTTATATTATCATTAATATTTATACATCATTATTTTATTAATCAATTTCTTACCGTTTTGCATCTAAAATTTAAAATAAATATATCAATAGAATACTTAAACAAAAGATGGATATATGTATGTATTTAGGTAGATATGTAAAATGGTTTAATTTTTTTAATGAAAATAAATTTAACACAATTTGTCTAAATAATTTTTGATGTACGTATATCAAATGGCATCATTGTGTTTTTCGTTTGTTTATATACTTTTCCATGACGTATATTGAGGAAAGCTGCAATTTTTCAAAATAAAGTACTTTCTTTGTTTGTTAAAATTTCTAATGACAATCTACATTAATATAACAAATTTCCATAATAAAACATTTAACAAAATAGTTTAAATTTATAAATAATTTTGTATGAAACATATGGTTGTATTATACCGATTGAATATTTTAAAACCGAATATAGGTAATTACTATGAAAAAAGGGTTTTTTGGTGATCGTCACTATCCACATTAACTTAGAGGGTTCATAATTAGGAATGGGCGATAACTGTTTTCACCTATCAATAAGTATCGGGTAGTTACCTATTGATATATTTTACTTATCGATATGCCGATAATTATCGAAATATCGATGGTTATCGATATATTGCTACCTATCGATAACTATCGAAATATCGATAGTTATCGATATTTCGACAGTTATCGATATGTTGATAGTTGTCGCTAGAGATGGGCAATAGCTGTTTTCATCTATCGATATAAGTATCGGGTACTATCCATATACCTATCCATATATTTTACATGCCGATGATTATGAATAGGTATGGGAATTTTTTTCGATATATCGATAGGTATCGATAGATCGATTTTTTTAGCTCTACCTATTGTTTTTCGATATATCGATATCTATTGATATATTGAAAAAAATTCCCATGTCTATTCATAATGATACGTATCCAAAGATGATTTTTTTCTTATCTAATGATATACAAATTAGTTCATTTTCAGTTGTAGTTATCATTATTTTATTAATAATTCAGCAATTGATCCAATTAATAAAATTATGTTAACCATGGAAATTTTCTAAAGAATTGAAATAGGTTTTGACACAGACGGAATGGGCGTTTATTAAAGTGAACGGAAAACAAATATCGCGTAAATATTTTGAACAGTTGTCATAAACTGATATTGATTTCGACTTGATTAACGTTTGAATCTGATTTTTGTTTTACTAGTCATGGCTATATGATTTTGAAAAACAATTATGAAATTTTGCGAAATATAACCTCACTTTCGACGAAATGAATTGAACTTTTAATTAAGATTGTGGAGGGCCCCTTCCGCAGATTTTTTTATTGAAGACGCTTCGTTAAGTTGCCTTTTATCCATTTCTATCAATTTAATGATCGTACATGGGGGGGCTTATTAGCGTTACGTAATCTTATTTTGTTCGTATAAACGAAATTAATGTACCTACTGTATAGAAAAATTTGCAATTGGGGGGAAAATTTTACTTTAGTGATGAGGTTTGGCCGTTTTTTTCGACTAATTGCATCGTATTAGTGTTGAAAATTTAAGCTTTTTTAGAATAATAGAAATAAATTTTTACCTTGCAGAGCTGATGGACACTTCAACACTCAACAGGGTGTGGCTTCAGGTTCGAAATGAAGTTTGTGCTTTTATAGTTAAAGATGTCAAATGATTGATATTTACCTAACTTTACTCTTTTGAATTTTTTACGAGTAAACCATAGAATAATTCTGCAATAATTAAAATAGTTGTATTTAATAAAATCATAACCTCTTGAGTACGTGATGTTAATAAGTCCCCCAGGTATGATCATCAAATTGATAGAAATAGATAGAGATCACCTTAGTGATACGTTTTCAATTAAAAATTTGTGGCAGAGGTTTTAAATTTTCCACAATTTTAATTAAAAGTTTAGTTTATTTTCTGGAAATCTGGTATTATTTTATGTCTATTTCGTCATACTTAAGTTGGCGAAATTGAAATGTGACAGTTATTAATTTATAAACAAATGTGAGTTTTATTGGAGGTTATGTTAACTTCTTCGTCTACAAAATTGAAATATCCTGGGTTTAACGTGTATATTAACAGTTTTTAATGTAATGAAAGTAGTATAATAGATATAATATACAATACAATTTAAGGTTTCGTTCGACAAATGAGCGATACTTCCATGTCACTTGTGGATACACTCTAATAACACCACTTTAAGAAGTGTATACAGTTTAATCTCTTGAATGCGTTAGGGAAGAAAAATATCGTAGAAAAGGTTACATATTGCGAGTGATAAAGATCGATTTCTTTGTATCGATCACCGAGGGGGGAAATCCGGACGTATTTTTCATGGATCGCCTGTATAGTGATCACAGATTAATTTGAAACGTTTTTTTTGTATGAATCGCTGCTTAGTATACACAGCCTTATACGGTCGAGAGGGAGAGGAATATCTTTCGCAGTTTCCTTAAAAAAAACGGGTCACCCCTAATCTTACGACTCATTCGGTATATGTGTTTTTATAAATATGCATAAATGTATATAATCTATGGTTTACGATTTTTTGTCTGTCATTTCGATTATTGGTAAACATCATCGAATACAGTAAACGTCAATAACTTTATAAATAGGTAAGTACTATTTATTTATATTTTACATTATGTACACAAAGTAGTTATTTATGGTAAAAAATGACGATGGCATTGTTTATGTTGAATACAAAACTTTTCGTAGGTATATTATTATAAACTTTTCCTGTATCAACTTACGATAGCATTGTGGTTGATTTTAACACATGAATTAGGCGAAGTATACTCCAAGGTAGGTTACATACGTGCGGGATAAATGGATCTATTACTAGGTTGGAGTTGTTTTATAACTTTTCATACACTTTATCGATTTTTTTTGGATCTAGTCAAGTGTTGCTATTTACACATTATTATGATATCGTGTTTGTACCGGTGGCATCGTTGAGTTTAGCAAATAAGGTGAAGGAGATATTTGGAGTAATCTGGTTTAGAAGAAACCTCTTTTGAGGACGTTTTACATTTGATTTATTAAAACGTGAGCAACAATTTGTAATACCATTCGATCACAGTATATTGTCGACACGGTATTTGTGTATGTATTAATACAATTCCGTAATGTATTATGTATGGTCGTCTGACACCAGATGATCCAGCGTACGTGATTGACAAATATTTATTTGCTAAGAGTTAATTTTTTGGTGGGCAACTTACCCGAGTTGAAATATATTGTTAAAATAGTTTATTGAAATGTTTAAAGTGGATAAGAGAATTTTGGAACAAAGGGAGAAATCATAAATACTTTTAGATCCACTTTGTTCGAGACTTAATTATTTGAATCTTATGAGAGTGTACGAAACGCAAGTACAGCTTAAAACTGTGGTGCATGATTAGAATACAACTTTGTGTATTTTCAAATTTGGAGTTTCACCTAAATACATTTCATGAAGTTTTTGTCTTGAAATGTGTCACTTGAGTTCAAAGGTTTTTTTTCATAATAAATTTGTTTGTAATAGTTATATATCCAATTTGGTTAATTGTTTGTTTTGTGTTAGATAAAAATGGCTACATTTTTTGGATTGGGAGACAGTGTTTTGAGAAGAGTGCTGGTAGAGGGACAAGGTGTCTCTACTAGTCGAATTTATGGCAAGCTCGTCGTGGACTTGTGCATCGGCGGGCAAACGATTTCGCAATTGAGAAAAAGAGTCGAACGCTCACGAAGTGACGAATCGGAATGGTTTGTGCCTAGAAATACGCCTCTGGTCGTTTTGATAGGAACCAACGATATTTTAAGAAGTGGCAGAGCTTCTGTTGTCTTTAATAATCTTAAACGGTTATTAATTACATTGGAAAAGTGGTCGAGGATAACTCCCATCACCTTGTGTACTCTTCCTCCAATAAAGCATGCAAGTCCCGATGTTCGACATCAGTTGCATAAATACAACACGTCGATTAGAACGTTGTGTTCTAATCGATGTGATGTATTTAGGCTATTGGACTTGTATGCCTTATTGGACGCGGAGAATTATGAGGGCCACTTTTTCGAACGGTAAGTTTCATTATAGTACATATATTGTTATATTTTAATTTGTTATTTTTAGTGACGGTATTCATCCAAATAGAGAGGGGCTTTTGAGAATTTATGATTCCATAAGTAATTTTGTAGGAATTGTATAACATGAATACTTTTTCGAACAGCAAATACATTTTTCTGCTTTGTTGATGCAGTTTGAAGGGTTGAGATAGAGAACTGTTAGTGAAATGACTAAGCGTAAGGTCAAAATTTGAGAACAATTGGCGCAATTTAAATTTCTCTATGGCTCATCTTTAAAAAAACACCGTGTATAAGGTACAAAAGAAATGAAAATTATTACAATGAAGAGATATTGGTCTTAAAAGTTTTCAAATTTGATTCCAAATATTACAATCTACGTTATAGTTACCAACCTTTTGAATAGCGTAAATCCTTCAAAAAAACTATTTTGTTTGTTTTAATAAAATTAATAGGAAATTGAGGTAAGTGAGATAAATACAAAACGCAAGGATAGATTTGATATTATGGATGTTAATTCAGATACAGTAATTATGAATGAAATGGTCGTTTGTTATAGGTTTAGAAAATTTGGTCAATAAAAAATGTTCGAATTTTTTGGGAGGAGCTTAACTGCATCTGTAGTGTGATGTGAACAAATAATATATATTAATTACCTGACCTCGCGACTCCACCGCATCGGTTTCCGTCTAAAAATAAGATGAAAACGGTATAATTTTATAAATATATAGCTACAGTAGACCTTCGCCAATTCGAACAGGATGAAAGTGTATTATAGGTACGTTATTTTGTAAAGTAAAGTAAAGTAAAGAATAATTCGAACAACAGTGTCAGTATTGTACAATTTTTTCATCGAAATGTGATTACATGATGGGCATTTTGATAATGATGATATGCATTGTTTAGATTTAGAACAATTGTTGTGTTTTGTTTATTCTATTTTGTATCATTTGTAATTACAATTATTTATTTCTTAATAAGTAATTCAGAATAAAATTTTATTGTTATTTTTGTTAATTCGAAAAATTCATTCACTCAAATAATCTCACATCCGGATTAGGTCGGATCGGCAAGTTTCTATTGTAGGTACCTATTGGTGTATGATAAAATGTTTTGCGTGTAAAAATGAAATCACGAAAGATATACTATACAAGTTTTATGTTGAAATTTGATGTCGTATTCTTTATGATTGTCCAAAAATATTTATACTTAAGAAATACAATAGGTATACAACTTGTGGAAAAGATCAAAATGAAATGAAATTAAAAAAATTGTAGAATTTTAAATTTGTATTGTATTGTAAATTTGTTGAATCTTGTAAATTAAAAAAAGTGTATGTAAAAAGTTTAAAAATATGTCTATTTTTTTAATTTACTTAATTCAATTAATAATGAAATTAGATTTTTTTTATATAGATTTGGCTTCGACTGTTTAGTCTTTTCGCTATTCATAGGTTCCAGTTAGATATTATTTACTTACTCGTTCAGATTCGTGTTGACTTTCTATAAAAAATTAAAGTATTAATTTTATTGAATTTTAGAAATGAATCAATTATGCTTACCGTTAACTTGTTCTTCTTCAACCTAAAAATTAAATGGAAATAGTATATTATTATAAATATATAACATTGTGTTTATGTGTAAAATAAAAGTTGCATGACAAAGAATTAAAATTGAAAAAATGAAAGCATCGAAAATTTTTTGTTTCTAATTTCTCATGTTGAGAGTTGAAGTTTTATAATAAGTTTTTAAACTCAGTGAAATACTAATATTGGGTATGAAGATCTTAGAATATGTATAACTTTAAATTTGTATTGTTTTATAGAATTAATTGGCAATGTGGCATTTTCTGAATATTGTCACATATTTTATATTTATATAAACAATGTGGTTGAAGTGAAATTGGTATTATTGTTAATTGTGTCTTGCGATATTAAGATATATGATAAAAGTAATTTTTTTATGGAACATCCTGTGTATGCGTATGTATTTTATAAAAAACAAATTAAATAATGGTCAACACTAATTACCAATACTATGAAATTAAGGACATTACAATCAATTAAAGTTTTCTATTTGTATAAAATGGTGACAGTTGATATTTTAATGATAAGAAGAAATACGTTAAAAAGTTTAAAATATTTGACATAAATTACTGTGGTTGTAATAATAAAGGAGTTACAAGTTGTAAAAAAATTTTTTTTTAATTTTATGATTCTCAATTTGTAAAGGTTAAGTCTAGTTTTATACTTTTTGGTATATTTTACGTGTTTAAGTATTACCAGTTTGTCTTTGGAATAAATTAAAAATTTTAAATATCATTTATTGGTAGTTAGGTGTTGATTTCACTATATAAATATTTATAATTATTGATGATACGTTACCTCCGTTGGTGGTCCCGTCTCGTTTTCTGTTACAATTACAGATGAGTTTGCTTCGGTTTCTTCAATTTTTAGATTATCATTAATATTTATGTATCATTATTTTATTAATCAATTTCTTACCGTTTGGCATCTAAAATTTAAAATAAATATATCAATAGAATACTTAAACAAAAGATAGATATATGTATGTACCTAAGTAGATTTAATTTAATTTTTTTAATGAAAATAAACACACATTGCCTAAATAATCTTTGATGTACGTATATCAAATGGCATCATTGTGATTTTTGTTTGTTTATATACTTTTTCATGACGCATATTAAGGAAAGCTGCAATTTTTCAAAATAAAGTACTTTCTTTGTGATGGATGATGTTTCTTAAATATTACCTTTATTTAAAATGGAGTAAATATTACTAACCTATTAGATACCTATTTATAAAGTTTAGTGTTTTTTTTCTATATAACACGAACATCTTTACAAATATTGTATATACATACTTCTATCATTAGCATGTACTATGTTTTATTAATTCTATTCAATGTGTACTACCTTACATTAATTATAACGTTTATTTTTAAATTTTCTTGTTACATCTATTTTGGTTGCAATGTTCAGTGATATCTATTTTTTATAAAGTATAATAATATTATTCGTTTGTTTGTTTGTTAAAATTTTTAATGACAATCTACATTAATATAACAAATTTTCATAATAAAACATTTAACAAAATAGTTTAAATTTATAAAAAATTTTGTATGAAACATATGGTTGTATTATACCGATTGAATATTTTAAAACCGAATATAGGTAATTACTATGGAAAAAGGGTTTTTTGGTGATCGTCACTACCCACGTTAACTTAGAGGGTTCATAATGATACGTATCCGAAGATGATTTTTTTCTTACCTAATGATATACAAATTAGTTCATTTTCAGTTGCACTTATCATTACTTTATCAATAATTGAGCAATAAATCCAATTAAAAACCATGGCAATTTTCTAAAGAACTGAAATAGGTTTTGACACAGACGGAATGGGGGTTTATTAAAGTGCACGGAAAACAAATATCGCGTAAATACTTTGTACTCGGTGAAATACATTTAACAAAAAAATTAATGACAATTGTCATAAACTGATATTGATTTCGATTTGAATAACGTTTGAATCTGATTTTTATTTTACTAGTCATGGCTACATGATTTTGAAAAACAATTATGAAATTTCGCGAAATATAACCTCACTTTTGACGAAATGAATTGAATTTTTAATTAAGATTGTGGAGGGCCTCTTCCGCAGATTTTTTTTATTGAAGACGCTTCGTTAAGGTGCCCTCTATCCATTTCTATCAATTTCATGATCGTACCTGGGGGGGGGGGGCTTATTAGCGACACGTAATCTTATTTTGTTCGTATAAACGAAATTAATGTACTGTATAGAACAATTTGCAATTGGGGGGAAACTTAGTGATGAGGTTTGGCCGGTTTTTCGACTAATTGGTATCGTATTAGTGTTGAAAATTTAAGCTTTTTAGTATAATAAGAAATGCATTTTTACCTTGCAGAGCTGAGGTGGAAGTGGAATCAATGGTTGGAACTTGTGGTTTGAAATTTTTTATACATGTTTGTTGGGTATATTTTAGAAAAAGTCATTTTTTTTACTTAACCATGAATCGCACGCCCTCTAGCGGCGAAGCTAGAAACTTGAAAATAATTTCCAGCGATTTCTCTTGGCTCCTTCTGTTAACAAAATTTTTTCCCGAAGCTGTGCAATTAACGCTTCCATAGATATGGCCTGTGACCATTATTAATGGGACACCCTGTACATAATTTTCGGGTGGAATTGATCCTTTCTACGGTATGCGCATGCTAAAAAATAGACGTGACCAAAGTCGCCCAAAGTACGGTATGAAATTGAGCAGCACCATGTTTTCACCTATATGTACGACCGTTTTCATTAGCTGAAGGTCAAAATACACTGTGAGTACAGACGTTGCATATAATGTATTTACATAAAATGTATTATTTAAAAATATAATTATCAAAGTTGAAGGAGAAAATGAGATTTCGAACTAATGTTATTTTCGTACTTCCGGGACTAAAGTAACAACTTCACTCCATTATGACAAGTACTGAAGTGTCACTTTTTGTCCCGCCGGGATTAAAATTAGACGAAAATCCCGGAAGGATGAAATTACTAACAAGGCAATTTCAGTAGGTTGTTCCACATTTTGTATGCGGCACTACTTCTTAAACGCATCGTACTGCTGCTCATATAGTTTTTTGGATTTCGGTGGTATCAATTCTTTACCTACTTTGGCCCCTTTTTATCAATATCAAATACACCTTTGTCACCCGCCACCAAAATTATGACACTAGCAATGACAGTTTCCAAATTATTATTGTCACCATGGCATAGGGATTGTCATTTCCTAAACTTGTTAAGCAGCGATTTTTTGATTCTCTAACTCCATATATTAAGAAGTCAAAGTTATCGTATATACCTTGCGACTGAAGTAGTAATCCCTCAGGTAAATTATGGCCCTCCCTTCGGTCGGGTCATAAACTTTACCTTCGGGATTAAAAGTACTACTTCAGTCCCGCGGTATATAATATACTATTATTAAAACTAAAGTTTTAATAAATAACATTAGTTCGAAATCTCATTCTCTCCTGCAACTTTTCTCTATAGAACTAAAATGGAGTAGTTCATTAACCATATATAATTTTCAATTTCACCCCAAATATACCAACTATTTGGAACGTTCAGCAAAGTTTACAAAAAAATATTAGGATTGATTGTGTAGAACTGTTGTCAAGGTGGTCGAAGTAACTCGAGTCGGGCTACGATGAAAATAAAAAAAGTTCTGGAAAGTTGAAAAATTTGTAAGGATACAATTAGGAAATCTCTCCAAGCGGCAGTTTCATCAGTCATATGAGAGTTTTAACTCTCATGTTGCAATCTTACGTTTTCTTTTTTAATAGGACTTGGGAATACTCTAGTCTCAACTTAGCAATAGCCAGGATGAAATAATGCATGTAAAATACCTGATAACATTTATAAATGGGTCAATTACGAAATAAAATGAATAGTTAATATTTTACTCTAATCTCATTTTTGGTGCAGGCGTTAGTGTAATTTTTTGTACACCGCGATGAAAGAATAAACGATATGTCGAACAATGGATTAAGTGAAATCTGGCAGTATTTCATTCATTTACTCTTTATCAATAGCGTGGATCTGTCAGATAGTGTATTTCACCAAAACTGGGGAGAATTCTTTTATGATTTGATCGAGATTCGACTTCAGTAATTCCCGGAAACCAACCCAATCCCTCGTTATTAACATACGATTTATATCCGACTCGCTATTCGATGAGGCTCAACTTATATTGCAATTTTTAAAGATTTCGGTGTAATAGGTATATCGGCATTTTGCGTCAAGTACACGCATACGTTGCAACTAAATTACGTGTATTTGAGAAGTTGTTTTATCCGAATTACAAGTTCATGAAGTCGGTAACTATCTATTAATTTATATATGAATGGAGCAGTGTAAGCAATACCGGTGCCGTCAGAAACATAACTTTTGCACAAATCAGAAACATTTTCAGCTGTTAATTTCTCGTAAAAATTGATTTTTACTTGATATACGAATTTTTGTCGCTGAATTCCATATACGCGGCATTGTGATCGGGGTTGACCCTATTCAAATATCACCTTCAGTTAAGGTGACCCAATTGTTAACTACTGCTGTTATTTGTCATATTAACTATAAATAAACAACTGCATTCCTGTAACCGAAAAAGCTGGCAAAGATGAGAAGGTGGCACAAACAATCTGATCGAATCGCTTGATTTTCCATGGAAAATATTCATTTTGTATTGACGGGAATATTATTTCAGCGATGCTATCAGATTTTTAATGCTCCCCGAGTTCTGTTAAGCTTGCACTGGCTTATTGCCCCGAAAAAATAATAATGGGTAATAATATATTTTACGGAATTTACATGTTATCATTAGTTTTCGTTAGTTCTGAGAAAAATGACATTGGTGTTACTGTTATCTTAATCTTTTGCGTGATTCACATTTGCCCTGACATTTGGAATAATTAGTTCGAACGTAATTTTCGTATGGACACCGTTGCTTTCTGTAAGTCTTCACAAAACCAACGTTTGGTTCCTCTTACCTATTATTTAAAAAAAATTTTAAATTGTTCGGGGAAAACCTCGCTATTCTAACATTTACTTGTCTCGTTACTTTAAATGTAATTGGCTATTAAACGGTGTTAGTTTTTGTATGTTTTCATAAAATTTATACCTATTTGACTAGTGAATTTTGAATTCGGTTGAAAAAACGCCCAAACGCTATGCAACACGTTCAACAATGAATTTCATACATATTCCGTGAATGCAGGAGAACAGGAGACAACAATTCGTCTTTGAACTAAAGTGGAAGCAACCTGTGATTTATTATAGGAGCTAGAAAGTTGAAATTATAAAGTATATTTGCCCAATGTTGCACAAGGCCAATAGTTTTGCATTTTTACAACACCGACAACAGCGGTACCGCCAAGCTTGTATTCTCAACTTTTTATTTCCTGTTTTCCTATGAGCGATGGATTTTTCAGTTATTTATTTTATTTAAATTGTAACCTATAACGTTTGTATCATAAATAAAGCAGACCCAAACAGCAATTGAAAGCGTGATTAAAACTTGGTGCAACAATTCAGCAACTTTGCAACAAGCTTTACGTTGCAAGGTAAAAAGCGTATATCAAGTGTGAAGCAAACTTTCTAGTTACCACCTGACAAGCTTGTAATAAACTTGATTTCAAAGCGTTATTCAAGCTATCAGTTTATTATTCTGCAATTAAGAATCAAGTTTGAGTCAAGTTTACCTATGTGTGCAATAATTATGGAAAATATATATTGCAGGTGGGAATTCAAACACATATGAATAGAAAAATGTATCATTTAAACATTGGGTTGTAACATGACCGTGGTTGTAACTTTACATTTCATCTGATGTGCTCTGATCATCATCATCTTCATCCTCATCCTGATTATTATTTGTAGTCTTGCGTTTCTCTCTAGAAAAGAATTATACGTATGTAAACACAAGGTAAATGTGTATATCTAATGTGAAATACTGTTGAGCAGTTTTAAGAACTCTCGGGCCCCTATACTTGCGAATTAACGTTTGGTATAAATGAGAATCGATAAATTAAGCCTACATATTTGTAATGTTATTAAAAATAAGCCAAACATATTTCCTCTACTCAATTCATGAAGGAGTGCGCAGTATAACCCAGAGAATTCTTCTCAACAGTAAAAGGTTTTCACATCTACGTGTTTCAAATTTTAAAATACGAGAAAATGAAATTATCAAACAAAATGTCTGAAAGTTTA